TATCTATCATCTATCTATCTATCTATCTATCTATCTATCTATCTATCTATCTATCATCTACTTATCTATCTTTCCCACCTCTCAACTGCATGTACTTATGTGACGGTGCCTCTCACTTGAAAAGATGACTTCCTATGGGTCTGCTCCAAAACACAGTCATACTCTGGTCTCCCGTGGAGACTTTTCCCATCATCTGATTCTTTTAACTGAATAGATGGGCACTTTATAACCAGGAGCCACATGGGTCTCTCATTCTATTTCTTGGCTTTCTCCTCCATCCTTGAGCCATAAATCCTGATTTATGTTCCCCCAGGAGGCGTTTTCCAGCTCAGAAAAGCTCTCGTTGATCTCAAAACTGGAGAAGGCTGAGGCACGCATCCTTGCCATGGAATGCCAGGTATGGTGACCTCCCTACCTGAAATCTTCCCTGGCATGAAGTTTTGATATGATCCATCCCCAGATGTTCTCCTGAGGCCAGAGTGAAATCCAGCCACTGTGTTCAAGTAGAGCAGTGTTTCTCAGTCTCAGCAACTTTAAGATGTGTGGCTGGGGAGTTCTGGGAGTTGAAGTCCACACATCTTAGAGTTGCTGAGGTTGAGAAACACTGATATAGAGCAGTGATTTATAACTGGTACTAACTATTAGGGTCTTCAGTTTACGGGTTTGTTGGCCTTTATCTTCTAACTTAGGTCTCCTCGTCACCCATAGTCAGCCATTGCTTTCATATTTGATGTGATCTTTGGAAATTGTGTGGGCTTTCAGACCCTAGTTTTAATTTCCAGGGCCTGGCTGACCTACTGGTTTTTGATGTCACCATGACCTGGATGGTTTTCTTCATTCTAGAACTGATTCTTCTGAATTTGCACTTCTCCAAGTTATGTCTTTAATCAACAATGCATGTATTATAAATGCTTTGTTTTAGGGGTGGCATTGGCCAATTTCAGTGTATTTTCTAATCCCCCCCCCCTTGGAATTTTTGCGGGTCTCTTGCTGATTTTAATTACTATTAGCTACCCTGTTCATTGCATCAACATTAGAAGAGTAGGGTATATATTTTAATATAAATGAAGTAACATAAATACAAAAATGCATCAGTGCCAGGAAGGGCTTGGGAAAAAAAAAGCATATAACAGTGCAGATTAATCCATGAATGTGCATTCTATTTAGGTTTGTTTCTTCGGGTTACTTCATTTTCTCTTAGACAAAAAAATGGATTTTTAGAAATGTATGTGTGTGTCTGTGTGTGTGTATGTATGTGTGTGTGTTTCTATATATATAAAATATTTATATCTGTTTGCTTTTTAGAGGATGAAGGGAATAAATCTGATAGCTAAATCAAATTGCCTGGCAATGCTCAGAAAAAAAAGTCTAAAATCATGGTTTTTTAAAGCAAAAGCAAGTTTTACTAGGATTGGTACCGCCAAATGCCCTGTGCTGGTGATAGTTTATTTTATTTTATTTATTTATTTATTTGATTTATATCCCACCTTTTTTATCCTATCCCCACCCCCACCCCATTACAATCTGTGAGGTGGGTTGTGTTGAGAAGAACGGCTGGCCCAAAGTCAACCTGCTTTAGGGAGAGCTAGAACTCACCATCTCTCAGTTTCTTGTCCAGCTCCTTAACCATATCCCTCGCTCTGATTGCCAGCCATCAAATGCTAAAGCAGGTACTGTGTGTAATAATTTGCTCTAAGTGTGTAAGCATTTCTCTTCTCTGGTACAGCTGGAGGACTCTGCCAGGAAGTGGGGGCGAGAGAAGCAGAATTACAGCACTCGTCTGCTTGAAAACGACCTTAGGTTTGACCAGTCGCCATCCTCGATCATGATTCATGATCTTTTTCTGGTGAGCAATGGACCTAAACAACAGGAGCAGTCTACCAGGGAAAGCTAGATAAGCCTTCTGGGTGCCACCCATGTGGGCAGGACCAGTCCAAGATGATTCCCTTCTTTGGGTGAAGGACAGCTTCACATTGAAGTCAACCAGACAGGAAGCTGAACCTTCCTTCAGTATTAGTGATGGGACAATGTCCATCATGGCAACATATGCCACAAAATCTGAAAACATCTATGCTACAGCAAGGGGACCATCTGCAGTTCTACCCCCACCCCCCTTTTTTACTACTGTCTCAGGTGGACATCTCAATCTGTGTTGTTGTGAGGCTGGCCCTGCCTGAGTGGCCACATCTCCTGTGGCAAAGCACATTTTCTTCCTTTCTAAAGGTGATGAGGTTGGGACTTGCCTTGATTGACACTCAAAGTGTGAAAGGACTTGGATCCTGGCAATTCTGTGGCTCAAGAATCAATCCTATTTTATTTTTTTTCCCATCAGTAAAAATGACCCTCCCTTTTGCTTCCAGTTAAATCCAGCATACCAGAGAAGATGTAAGATTACTACTCAGCCACCACAGAGAGGATTCAACAATGGGGCATGATCCTCCAAAGGGGAAAGTAGAGAATCAGAAGGGAAACAAATCAGAATTTGTAAGAATTTGGGAATGGAGACCAGCTTTTGATTTGAAGGAGAATGTTTGTTCTTAGCCCATTTACATGCCTCTCCTCCATCCACAGGATGAGAAGGAAGGGAGAGGGGATGAAGAACAGAAGAATGCAAAGTCAGGGAAGGACACACAGAAGTAGTCAATTATGGGGCCGAATCTGCTTATAGGTCAGTGTTACTTCTTAGCCACATTCGTAAGCCAAGGTTGCACAACTTTGGGTGGTGGGACTCTGAGCCACATCTGTCCTTTCAGGGGTGCCTTGTAGACCAAATTTCCAAAGGTGAAGGAATCAGGACAAAACGTGAGCAAGGAACGTTGTCCTGAATGCTTATTTTTTTTAACCAATGTGGAGATAGATGGCAAGGTGATTAATCTCTGTGTTGATAAAGGTAATTTCTGGAGGTGAACACTCCAAACCAACCTTGTTTTGTATCTGAGGTTTTTCTAAACCACTTTGCTCTTTTTTTGGATGTTTGAAAAAATGAATCCCATTGAAACCAACCACCTTTTTAATGAAGGTGTTCATTAAAGTGGAAGTATTTTTCAACAGTCCCTACCTCTCCACTCTCTCAAAACCAAAACCATTTATAGTTTCAAACAAGAGGCCCCCAATTTTCCCATTGTACATGTTTTCTCTTTTTTCCTTCCATTGGTTACAGAAAATGGCAGTTCTTGCCCAACACAGTCCATCTGGGGGTGGTCTCCATGCAGAGAGGTGGACTCTCAAGAGCCCTTTGGTGTAAAGATTTGTAGGCAATGCTGGAATATCTGTAATATTGCTATTCCTGAGAGAGGAGAAAGAGGCTGGCATTTTCCTCCCATCAGAATTGATTTGTTGCAGTATACCCAACCCTAGCTATGTCTTGGACCTTAGCCAATGAGTGGGAGCAATCGCAGGGGAAAGAAATTCCTCATAAGTCCTCTTTCTGCCCACAGTTGTGGTGGTGTAATACTATCAGCATGTCCTCAGCTCAGCCTGGTTTCAATGCATTGCTATGAAGTTGGACTTGGGTCAAAGGCTGTCCACACCCATTGGCACAGGATGTTTGGGCTGGGCCAACTGGTCCTCAGAGGGGAAGGAAGAGGAAACAGTGAATGGAGGTCTGACATCTGTTCTTCCATCCTTCCCAGAAACCACATTCACCAATACAACTCATCGGAGTGCACACCCTTTGACTTAGTTCTGGGAAACCCTGGAATTCTACCTACTACAGCAGGACAAAATATCTATTGCAAAATATATACTTCAAGTTATATACCTCTTTCCTGGGGAGATGAGCTGAATACAGGCTTCTCTGTAAAACTACCTTACAGTGTTGGTGCCTGTTTTGTAAATGTTGATGCTTGCAAAGTTAATAAAAGTTTATTTAAGAGGAAAGAGATGATCAGAATGGGGAGGAGCATCAAGGAAGGCAAGTATTGCAGAAGGGAAACCAGGGTCTGTGTTTCCTGTATTCTGAGTAATATTAAAATCATACATCAGCATTATACCTTATTGACTCATGGATAAGCCGAGAATTTTAGGTGCCAAAATACACACCAAAAATTGGGTTCGGCTTATCTGCAGATGGGCTTATCCACGAGTATATTTGGGAACACTTTTTAAAAGTACCCGTATGTCCTATATATACTCATAGATAAGCCCATCTGTGGATAGGTGGACCCTTGAACGTTTAATCCAAATACCATAAAAAAATTGATTAGGCATATCCGTGGATGGGCTTATCTACGAGTATATAACGTATCTCAGCCTTTTGAGCTTGTAACAGTAGGTGGGAATGACTTCGGGAGACAGGAGGAAGAGCTGCAGACTGGGCAATGGTCAGATAAGAGGCAGCTGAGCCCGCAGAAGGAATGGAGGCATGGCAAACATCTCAGAAGGGACCTTCCCTAGTTTCTTGGATTGTAAAGGCGATGAAGGGGAGGGGGAGAGATGTATTTTCAGACTTGCAAGATTCTGTTAATGTAACCTTATAACAAAGCTAGAACTTCTGGGTGTACTTCTTTACTGAACTACCTCGCAAGCCAGACAAAGCTTCCTCTCCTCTTCTAGCAAAAGCATCTGCTCCCACTTTTAGTTAAAACGTGGCTTGTTATTACATGTCAACTCAGGCAGTCATTCGTTTTAACCAGCAATAAGAGAACCAAGCCAGTTCCAGGCAAGTTTTCATATCCTAATTTGTTCCCTTATACATAGATAAGACTAAACACAGTACTGAGTTCACATATACCAGCAAATCATAGTTAGATGAAATCATAGAAAACAGAAGTGAAAGAGCAGGTGAACACAAGCTTGGGTCTTGTGTTGAACTATGGTTTAGCGTTATGAGATTATTTTCTCCCAGTTCTGTTCTCACTGATCTGCATTCTTAGCCCACAGTGAAGCCAATGGCCCTATTCTGAAAAGTGAGTCAGTAGCAGTCATGTTTCACTGACTTTATTATTACTTTAGTTTTCTGACTTGGCTGCAGGACACTACATTTCAAACTTTATCCAAGCATAAAGAAAAACCCTGGTTGGATACAAATTGTGGAGACATAAGCTGTAAGCAAGGGAGGTGCTGGCATCTATCCATGGTTACTTTAGCACTTGGGCTTACCATCCATTATTTCCTATGTTGGCCTAGGGTTTTAGGACGGACTGACTTTTAGGAAGTGGATAGAAGTTTTACTCGTCTGATAGAGGCACTCAATTCAGTGGTTTGGCAGGAGACTCAAAACCAGGAAAAGAACTTTTTATTTCATCCAGCCACACATAACTGACATATAATCACTCAGGAGGTTGTGATGGCCATGGCTGAGATGTCTTTAATAAAGGACTAGAGAAACTGACAGAGAAGAGGTCCACCAAAAGTTGTCCTTGGAAGCTCATTGCAGCCTCTATCTTCAGAAGTAGCCTTCTGCCATTGCTCAAGAGGAGAAATCAAGAGTTGAGAGACCCTATCAATGTCATACCTTTTTTGCAAGCTTCCCAAAGGGAGCTGGTTGGATATTATGGAAAATATAAAGATGGATGAGATGGGACATCTGTCTAGCTAGAAGCTACTTCCATCCAATGAGAAGGGATCTTCTTATGTTCTTAAATCTAATAATATCAAATCTAATAGAGTGCTACATGTACAGGAAGATATGGACAGGGAGAACCTTCTTTCTTCTTAGCTAAATTGTACTGCATGAGTAAAGAACAAGGCAGAGAGCCAAAATACCCGCTGCAAATGAGTTGTCCCAACTTTGGTTTGATTTCTATATTTAGTAAACATTTGCCATTGGGACACCATTGGACTGTGATCCATATCAGCTGGGCAGGCAACTGCCATCCTTTCTCCAAGTGTTTTAAAAAAGGGACCAGGTACTTATGGAAAGTTGTACCCAGCTCATTGATGGGAATAATGAGGCCGTAGCGTCAAATAGATTGGCTTGTCTGGAATCAGGATAAGGCCGAAAGTGGTACCGACCTCCACTCCCCTCTTCATTTCAATCTTGAATTTTTCCAGCATCTGAAGGAGAAGGAGGGAAAAGACAACAAGAAGTCACATGGGGCTGCCAAATCATGGGCCTCAAACTTCAAAACCTGTCTCTACATAGCAGGGGTTGGCCAGAGCAGTGTTCCTCAACCTTGGCAGCTTGAAGATGTGTGGACTTCAACTCCCAAAATTCCCCCCCCAACAACCGCTGCGCTGGGAGTTTTGTGGGGGTTGAGGAAAAATATTTTAACAACCACAAGTCTAATAAAACAGAGGGAAA